AAAAATACAGGCAAAGAATGATTACAAATAAATGAAAAATTCCACTTACAAAGTAACTCTTTCATTCTGAGACCACGTTATGGCGAAAGTATTAAGTCACGCTAACTTTTAAACATGTAGATGAAATCCTATATATAGTGTTTGGTACCATATAAACATCTTGCAGTCAGAACTTCTGAATGATCCTATTTATTTTATAGGATTTTACAGATACAATGTATGAATTCTTCATTTTGTGAATTTGTGTCTCTGTCCTCTATTAGGGGCAAAAAGGTAACACTGAAAAAAAACATGGAAATTCATGAGTTGTGCAATATAATTTGCAGGTTTGTGGCTTGTTTTGAAACTGTTTTGTGGCTGACATTAACTACATGTTTGCAAATTAGTATCACTGGTCAACTGTAAATGGTTGAAACCTTGGAGTCATGTCCAAAGTACAGAAGTATTGATAGAAAATTTAGAATCATGTTTCTTAAAGTTATCCTCAATTTTATCACAATAATTAGTTGTCTCTTTAATTTTTGTTTACTTGCCATCATGTCTACACAAAATATGTAGAACTGTATCTGGTTCATCCACAAGAATAATTATTACATTTCACTGCTTTTATCTGCTCGTTTACTAGAAATTGCAAACTCGAATCTCCTGACTCTTGTAAAACACACACACACGCATAAAAAAAACAAAATTAAAACGAAGCTGAAAAAACAACAAGCTACAAAATTATTACCTGCCAATTTGAACTGTTGGTTCAGTTGCATAAATCTTGCCCTTAAAACCTGAACGCTTCAAAAAAAGAGTTAAATTAGGAAAAAATGAAGGACTTCAATAAAAAAGGTTGGAATACTTCTCTTGCCTGCTTATATCATTATAAGTCCACTTACTTCAGTTATAAACGGCAGAGCTGACATAAAATGGTAGTTGGATATCAAAATGATATCAATGTTGGAAAAGTCTAGCAGACACTCCTGAAATAAAATACGTATAACAAAAAATTTAATTGACACAAAAAGAGTAAGTACTGTTGCTACAATTTGTATCGCAGCCAGGTACATATATAGTTGCAGACATGGTGTCCAATGTGCTTGATTCAACCTGATGTCACTTTATTTTAACTAAACAAAAAAATATAGTGTAAGCTAAAATATCTCATTCATCATGCTGAATTTTAAAGTTCAGCCTGTACATGTAAAGTTTTGTTAAAAGTTGTGTTAAACTTTTTAAAATGTGAGGGCCCTAATGACTATGGCATTGAAATGACATAAAAAAACCTCCCACTTGTAGATTTTCCATAACAAAACCTTGTTTGCCCTGAATTGTATAAGTATTGGCGTCAATTGGTTGAATTTTAATTGTTCAATATTGTTTTTGGTCACTTTTGGGACTGAAAGGTTTAACATAAGAGGCTTTTTTTTATTTACATAACTTTCATTCACAAGAACTAATAGACATTAGTTGACATGCTTTTGTGACCTCAAGATTACGTTATTGTTAGTACTTTTTTTAATAGTTTTATATGGGCTCCCAAAATAATATCAGATTTGTAAGCTACAATGAGTCCAGAACACTGCTGCAAGACTTATTACGAACACTAGGAAGTAGAACCGTATCTCGCCAATTCTCTTTGAACTCCATTGTTTGCCAGTGTTTTAACATGATAATGTCTTTAATAAGGCTGTACATTAGCGATTTAGTAAGCATAATAGGTCCTGTTCAGCATATTCATTAAGAAAATTGCATCATGCTGCTGAACATTTTAGAATGTCCTAATTAACAGGCATCTTCTGGCAACTTTAGGCACTAAATCATTTTCCACTGCCGCCCCTACATTATGCATGTAAAACAGCCTTTTCACGCATATCTGTGATATAGAATCAGTGGGTACTTTTGAGAGACATGTCAAGACATATCTTTTTAGATTTGCTTTTACTTATAGTTTTAAATACCTCTGGAGGGCAGCAATTTGGTTCAGCATCTATGAATATCTTCCCAGCAATTTCTTTCAAGTTCTAAGATTGACAAAAAATCATGTTGACGCAGCATATTAAAAATGAGGAGTACAATGTAAATACATACATACTTTATCGTTACCTCCCCCAAAGGGGCTTTTCAAGAACAATGATTATATTACATTATCTATAATAACTAATTACAACTAACACTTAATCTAATACTAAATTACAATGTTAGCTAACTATTAATTACAATGTTTTAAACTTAATTAAGAAGTATTTACAAAATTTTCAAAAAGCTGGCTCCTTGAGGAACATTTAAAAATCAGCTGAGTCACAAATTTTAGCTAATTCAGCCAATGTTGGGAAAACTGGTCAGCCACTGAGTGAAACACAAAAATAACCACTTAAAACATTGAAGGAAAGTTGCAATAACACAGCAACTACAGTACAAAAGAATGCACAGCTTGGAAAATTTATATGCATGTTTACATTGACTGATTGTTAACATGATTGACTGATGTATTTAGGTTCACCAGTTCTTTGAAGGGTCACCACAGCAGCCTGTGGTGCCACTATGCGTGTCCATAACAGTCCCTCCCCCCATGAGAGATAGACCACCACACTGGGGAGACTATGCCCCCTACTCTTTATGAACAGTAGGTGCATTCCTTAACATCCCACAGGATTTACATGTGCAAAGGTTGTGAGACAGGGCCCACAGTTTATTGTCCTCATGGAGAAGACTAGAAAGTCTAACCATTTGCAGATGTATTTAGTACAAAGGCAGCACTTTCTCCTGAGTTATTTAAAGGCCCTGAGTAATGTCATTTACTTCAAGTTTTGAAAATCAAGTTAGGCTGACCAGTTCAAATTGTTAATGACTGAATAGTAAAGTAACAGCTTAATTACTTGTGTTATACTGCTGTAAAATAATGTAAAGGTGACCCTTAAGCCTTCTTATGGTCCAATCCTTTTTTCTAGTATTTCTTTTTAAATATTTAATTCATCCACAATGCACCTTCTACCTTACATTTTGAGCAGAAAATCCTTCAATGTCTTGCAACTCCCTTGTGGTCCACACTTTTGTCTGGCTAACTTTCTCACTACAAAGAAATTGGTGAAATAGATCAATAATATTTGAATTGCTCCTACAAACTTACAAAATTGGTAATAAAAAATACATGAAGAAAGATCTTGATAAACAATTATAACAATAAATATTCTATTTCAAACTGATGGCATCTGTAAAATGTCTTGTTTTCTACATCTAAAATTCTATCTCCTTTACAAACTCAGCAAGGCAATAGCACTTTCACACTGTAGATGCCTTGCAGGATGCCTGATGCAGTGATATTCTCCTAGCCTGAGGTAGACATGATTTTGCACTGCCCGGGCGCCGGGCATTTGCAAATTTTGCACTGCCCAGGGGCCCGGCATTTGCCAACCCTGGGGCCATTCCTGAGCTTTTGACATGCACGCATTTGAATCAAATTTCTGTTGATATTATTTGAAGAACATCCTTTCATATTTATAACACTATATCGACTGTGCGTTCAATGAAAAATGTTGCAGTGCTGACGAAGGATGGGACATTTGCCCTCTTTTTTCGTCCCCACCCCGGGGGGATTTGACAGCTCAAGAGTCCCCACCCCCAGGAATTAATTTGCCATCCAAGGCAAAAAAAAAATGCTAATGCCCAGGGGTCACCCAAGGAGGGGGGGGGGGGGGGGG